TTAAAATGGAAGTCATTATCAAAATCCACGAATCCGAAAATATAAACATTCAATATTATATCGAATAAATCCTAACAACTTAAATAAGCCAAACCGCAGCAGCGTAATCTTAAAATGGAGGTCATTTTCAAAATCCACGAATCAGAAAACATAAATATTCAATATTAAATCGAATAAATCCGTTAAAACTTAAATAAGTTGAAATGCAGTCGCGTAATCATAAAATGGAGGTCTTTTTCAAAATCTACGGCTCCGGAAACATGAATAAATCCATATATTGAATACATCAGAAAAACTTAAATAAGTCGATATGCAGCGGCGTAATATTAAAATTGAGGTCAATTTTTTAAATTTACGGTCCTGGATACATAAAAGTAGAGGCTCTTATAGAATAAATTCGAAAAACTTAAATAAATCGAACACAGCAATTTCAATCAAACAACAGCGTAATTACAAAATGGACATTATTTTCAAAAACTACTTATACCATAAACTACCCATACCCATAAATCGAAAAATTTAAAAATTATTAAATAAATAAAAAAAGGTTGAATTTCATATGGAAAAGGTTGAATTTGGCTTGGAAATGCTATATTAACAATTGGGATAACCTATAAATTTATCACAAAAAACTTAAAACATTAATATTGGTTTTAATTCCAATTCCAATTTTTATATACTTGTGTAATTTATTATTTATTTTTTAATGACAATAGCCAACTAAGGAACAAGTATATATCATTCCATGGATCCTGCAGCAAACCGCTTCTGTAGTTGAAGAGTTGTTGGTTGGAGTGCTCTGTCAAAAAAAAAACAAATTAAAATTAAATAAATGATATTTATTTTTATGTTTGCCAACGTTTCGGCTCAAAGTTCAGGCCTTCATCAGGGCTGGGTCTCACAAGAAAAGACACTTCAGTCGTACTTTTGATGGGACAATCCAACCTCATGTAACGCAATCGTATTATGAAAGAAACTTTAAATAAAAGTTAAATATTTCATTAATAAAAAGAATATAATTAAAAATTACAGTAGGATGCCATAAATTTATTTTTACTTAAGCGTGCCACAATTTAACAAGTTTGATAACCACTGTCAGTCATAGTGAATGTCTTAATTTAAGTCAATTATTGGTATCTTTTACCTCTTTTTAATCCTATTGGTACCCAAAAAAGACTCTTGCACTTTATCAAAGGTCGTTGGAGGAGAGTGGGGACAATACGTATCTGTTTTAGAACCCCTAGAACACGGTTATAAAAGTTTTGGAGATGTTTGATAAATATATCTCAAGTCTATAATAACCTTAGTGATTGGATATGGGTCAGAAATAGAACAGCACACAACAAAAACCATTGAATTTTACAATGATATAACAAGTTTAGTCAAAATCATTAATCATTTTAGAGAAAATCGTAAAATATAAAATAAAAACAATCATCAATGAATAAATTTTACTTTAAAAAGTTTCATTACAACCCAGGAATATATCTACCTTAAATATATAATCTCATAATCTTACAACTTTTCAGTTTTAAACAAGGCTGAACATGTGTGTACATACACACACCATTTGGTTTACTCAGTAATTTTGAGTCAGTAGACTTTAAAATAATGGTTAGCTGAAAAAATAGTGAAAATTTCAGTGATATCGATATAGAAGGGAATAAGTTTGAACACATAGAGAAGTTTAGTTATCTGGAGGCAATAACCAAAAAAAAAAAATTGAAGAGGAGATTAAGTTTAGGTAGAAGGCGGGAAATGCTGGTTATTTTTCTGTGAAAAAAATACTTAGCTCACGCCTTTGGACCTGAAACTTAAAAATTAGAATTTACAAAACCATCATTCTATCTACGGGTTCTTTATGGATGCCAAATGTGGCCGCTTACATAACGGGATGAACAACGTCTTAAGGTTTTTGAAAATAAAGTATTTCGTAGAATATTCAAACTGAAGAAGAATGAGTCAACTAGAGAGTTTAGACAGTTACACAACGCTTAATTGTGTGAACAAACTGTATCCGGTTAAAATAATTGAGGTGATCACAGTGCAGAGAATAAAATGGGCTTGGAAAATTGTTGGCCTCAGTAACAAAATAATCTTTGAAAAGTTGATAATTGCAGTACCAACTAGTAAAAATCTGATGAGTAGGCCGAAGTGAAGGTGGGAGGATTGTGTTAAGATTGATCTGGTGAGGTTGGGTTTGGACAGAACCAATGTATAGACAGAGAGAGCTTGGTGGTGTCGTCATCGAACCTTGGGGTTCGCTAAGCCTTTTGTTGTTATTATTATAGACCTTAAAATAAGTATTTACTGTGAAAACTCGGATTATAAGTTTTCAGGATTACAATACTTTACTCAACTATATATTTCATAGAATGGTAAGTGAAGTTAAATGCAGCTCATTTTTTTTTTAAATGACACTGGTTTTTTTAACATGCTTTTAGGTGAAATGCTATCATTTTTTTTTTTCAATGAACACATCCAGTTTTATGGAGGCCATTTCTCAGCTATGGGGGTAATATTTTTGTAATTATCAGTGTCAAATCAGACTTTATATTCATAGTCAGGTAATAAATTTAATTAATTTATAAATAAAATTAATAAATTTAAATAAAATGGTAATTACATACATAATAGTTTTTAATGAAGCATTGGAGTCCATAAATACTAAGATACAGCAGTTTTAAATCACACACCAACATCAAAACATTATCAATATCAAAGATATCAATCAATATATTGATAAATTTGTTTTTATTAGTTTATGGAACTTAATTTGAAGAATCGAAATAAATACATAAAAACAAATTTTGATTTTTGAGTTAACAATGTTTCAATGTAGGTCTATGATCTATTATTTATAAAGTCACGTGTGACCTAATAATTACAGTGACAATGAAGTCAAATGTGAATTTTACGATAAACTCAAATGGGTTTATGATAAACTACTGCGAAACTCCATGAAAATAATTATAGGTGACGCCAACGCAAGGGTGGGAACGGAAGAAGTTTATGTTCCGACGATTAGTAAAGAAAGTTTGCACGAATATAGTAATAATAATGGTAACCGTCTGATAAACTTTGCCATCTCGAAAAACCTGATAATTAAAAGTACTACGTTTAAACATAAGGATATTCATAAATATACTTAGACATCTCCGGATTCGCAAACAAAAAATCAAACCGATCATGTCTTGATATAACATAGCTGGCAAAGCAGTATAATGAATGTATGGTCTTATCGCGGAGCAGAATGTGGATCGGATCATGAATTAGTAATCACGAGACTTTGACAAAAACTGTATATAAAAAAGAGAAAAGAAAACTGTTTCGATTTGGAGAATTTTAATTTGGAAAAATTAAAAAATCCCTCAAATAGAAACCATTTTGAGCTGGATGATAAAAATAGGTTTGAAGCTTAAGAGCTTCCTGATGAGGACTGTGAGGATATTGACAAGTTATGGGCAGAGATCAGGGATAATATTAAAGCGGTCGGTAACTCGTGTCTCGGAAAAAAGGAAAATAAAATAACAAACCATGGTTTGATGAGGATTACTAATACATGTGCGAAAAAAAAAAAGCCGCTAAATTAAAAGCTCTAAATAACCTTAACAAAGACAATCTGGAATACTTCCGAACCTCAAAGAATGAAACGACAAAAATGTTCATGAATAAAATAATTGAAATAGAAACTAATAGAATCGAAAATAATATAAGAGACATGTACAAAGGTATAAACAGATCACGTAAAGAGGAAGTTGAAGTAGCTTATAATATTATATATATATATATATATATATATATATATATATATATATAATATCAATAATATTCCTACTGAACTAATTAAGGCAAGCGGGGAAGCTGGAGTTCGTAAAATGCATTGGTTCGTTCGGGTTTAAAACAGGGGGGATTCCCTTTCATCTGTCCTGTTCAATTTGGCATTAGAACATGCCATTAAGGAGTAATGCCAGTAATGGGTACCGAAAAAGGGTTGGAGCTGAGTGGGACAACACCTGTGCTGGGCTATGCCGATGATCTGGTACTATTAAGCGAAGACGTGGAAACTATAAAACTAAATATGACAACTTTAATGAAAGGCGATAAAGAACTACAGCTTAAAATAAACACGGATAAGACAAAATATATGGTTATCTGCAAAAATGGCCATATTATTGGTGATATCGATATAGATAGTAATATGTTTGAACAAGTAGAGAAGTTTAGGTGTCTAGGGTCTACAATAACCAGAAAAAAAAAATTGAAGAGGAGATTAAGGTTAGGTAGAAGGCGGAAAATGCTGGTTATTTTTCTGTGACAAAAATACTTAGCTCACGCCTTTGGTCCTGAAACTTAAAAATTAGAATCTATAAAACCATTATCTTACCTACAGTTCTTTTTGGATGCGAAATGTGGCCGCTTAGGTTAAGGGATGAATGCTTCTTAAGGTTTTTGAAAATAAAGTATTACGTCGAATATCCGGACCGAAGAAGGATGAGTTTAGACGGTTACACAACGCCGAATTGCGTGAACTGTATCTGGGTAATATAATTGAGGTGATTTAATCGCGGCGAATCAAACAGGCTTGTAAAATTCTTGGGCTTAGTAACGAGAGAATTCCTAAAAGGTTAATATTAGCTGTAACGAATGGTAAACATCCGAGGGGTAGACCGAAGCGAAGGTGGGAAGATGGCATGAAAGGCGATCTGAAAAGGGACAGGGTTTGGACGGCAAACGGTGGAGGGAGGTGTGTAAAATTGGTGGTGTCGGCATCGAACCTTCAGGTTCGCTAAGCCTTTAATTATTATTATTATTATTTTTATTATAAGTGACCTAATAATTATTGATTAAAACTCTAGAAGTTGTAATGGACCACTGAATCAACATCAGCATGTCAGGGCAAGAAGCACTATGTCAAATTAATTATGTCTCAAAAGCTTTGATTGAAATAATAAAAATTTATTTAATTAATTAATAATCAACATTACTTCATAAAATACCTGAGGTTGCTTAATAGCCTGCTGTGGAGGACTGGGACTACGTATAAGAGGCTGTTCTGTAGAAGGACCCTCTGCCTCAGACTCTGACTCAGAAGACATTGGTTCTAAAACCCCTGTTAATGGATTTATGAGGTACTGAACAGACTTGCCACCAGCGGTACTGCTCGGTGTAGGATCATTGGTATTAGAAGGGGAAGCATCCTGCAATACAAAAATAAAACATAACAATAAAAGGTCATAAATGAAATTTTAGGAATACTATAATTTGTTCTTGACCAAGAAAGTGATAATGTTTTTTCTATTTAGATGATTACATTTATAAACCCAGATAGAATATTGTTTATGATTTCTAAAAGTAATACAATTTTTTGTTCTTTTCTATTTTCCTTTCTGTTCATTTATTATTGAACAGATCATTTTTAAATATTATACTACTTCAGTGAAGTTAAAAATGAAACATCTATCTAACCTTACTACTATAATAAATTTAAATAATGAAATTCAAATAAAAAATATTACAGATAAGGTAATAACAGACCTGTTGTAGGAGGGGAGGCTGCACCGATTGCGATGGATGGGGAGGAGGTCTAGGTCTTGGAGGTGATTGTGCAGGTCGCTGGTACGGCGGTGGTGGGGGTGGTGGTGCTGGAGGTCCTCTTCTTCCCGAGTAAATTGGCCTTGATAAACTGACAGGTCTATTCACACAACCCACCTAAAATAATAAAATATTTGTGTAATCAATTGGACCATAAACATATAACTATAATATACAACTTATGATAACACTGCTCCACATTGATATTGTATCTCACTTGAAAACAGCCTAATTTCATGTTTTTTTGGTGTGAGAAATTCGAATTTCCACAAAAAAATAATCAGTTAGATAAAGTTACTTTTTGCATAATATGGGGAAATTTCTTGCTCCTAGGTTGGTAAGATTGATTTCTGTCTGTGAATCGCTGGAAACTACTAGATGTGAATCACAGAACCACTTTGCAGACAGTTGTATGCAGTGTTTACATTTCAAGTTACTCTTACCGTGATTGTTCTTGCTTCAGGCATTCGTTCAACGATTTACAGTACCGTGTCAGTAAAGAAGACAAATATTAAGCAAGAGTTCATAAGTCGCTTCAATCTATCCTCGAGTATCATCAGGATGCCTCCTTACACCACACTATCGTAGTCAAAGTGGGGGAAAATAAGAGAGGATACAAGGAACTTGTGGAGAGGTTAGATATAGGCAGGCTTTGGAGTTTGGGAAGGAGGATCTTATGATTGACGGAATCAAAGGCTTTTGGAAAGTCAAAAAGGATCAGGATAGAGATTTTCTATTGATCTATTGAGAAGTAGAGGTCTTCAGTGAGCCAGGCAGATTGGGTAGTTAATATGATGTTAGCTCATACTTCAATAAACGGTTAAATATTTTTTTAAATTTTGAACTTTTTTTAATTTATTAATTGTCTTACATTACTTTTACATTATACCGTAACATTTACATTATTTTTTTTACCCTTCATTTTGAAATTTTCTATTTTTTTTTAGTATTAACCAATTTCTATTAATGATTGATATAGGAAAAATTTAAAAAGTGTTTCATTGTATGATAAATTTTCTTAAATATACTTCAATTAATTTAAAAAAAAATTTTTTTAATTATTTGAACCTCATCAACTATATAAATTTTAACTTTTGCACTTCAAAACACAATCAAATGCTGTTAGTTTTAGAGCTAAACTGTGTTCAAAAGACTAGAAAAGATAAAAACAGGGGCGGAAGCAGGTATACGAAGGTTTGAGGTCAGGCCCCTCACCCTAAGGGATACCCACGACTAAATAATACATCTCACACTATCTAGTGGTTTCAGCAATAACCTGACTCGTGGGGTACGTACCCGGTAGAGAGTTCTGTAACGAACTGGAGTATTGATTTTGTGCAACTTAACGATAAAACTAAAGCCAATATATTAGCTTCGCGCACCATGGGCATGGCCTTTCCGAAGCCACTATATTGTCACTGGTGTCACAGGCGGCACATTATATTGGCTTTACGAATCTAAAGGGTAAAAAAGGTATTTGGTCCATAATCGTTGGTTTAGGATTTAAGGATGGCAGATAATAGGTCAGTAGGAGAAATATCAAGAAAATAAAACTTACCAGGATCAAAGGGGATTTCAATATAGGAAAAAAGTGTCAAAACTACAGAGTTTAATCCGCCAGTCCTGTTTATGGATCCGAAACATGGATGACAGCTAAAAGAATTGAGCAAGATTTCCTAGTCTTTAAGAGGAAAATTATTCGAAGAATATTGGAGTATATTGTAATGTCAACATTACATGGCATTTTAATAGTGGCGCGAAAGTGGTAACAGCACAAATTACATGGAGGAAGTGCTTGCGGGTGGTGGGAGAAGCAAGCCTCATGTAACTCAGAATGTGACCGGCCGCCAAGAGAGAAGATTATGAGCCGCCAAGAGAGAATGTGACAAGCTGTCAAGAGAGAAGGTGACAAGCTGTCAAGAAAGAAGGTGCTAGCCAGCAAGCTGAGAAAGTGAAAAAGGAGTACTAGCCGGTCGAGTGTTGATAGAGACCACTAGTGGAGATTATTTTATGTTGGAAGAAAAAACATAGCAGAAACTAATTAAGTGGTACAGAAAACGGAACATTCGTAAGAAAGAAGAGATTATTTCACTGACAGGCATAAACATTTGGGTGAGTGCTAACAATGACATTTATGTTGACAGAGGAATAGAACAAAAAGTTTAGACCGGGACAAATTGTTTTATAAAACTATTTTAAATTATATATAAGTGTAGTTAGTAATTAGTAAATTAGTGTAGATTATAGTTATTTAATGTTGAATGAGTGTTCAGTTGTCAGAACCCAACCTGAGAATTTATGTTATGTGTTATAATAAATAGTATATTGAAAAAGGAAACTCGTTTGATTTTGGAGGGAAAGAGGAACGTTACAATATATTGATGGAAACTGGAGAAGGTGGACAAACATCAAAATTTATTTTTAATGCAGAAATTGTCATTGTGAGAATAATACAAGGAAGACTAGGAGATTGGCTGGCCACATGGCTAGGATGGAGAACAAAGCAATCCCTAAGATGGTTCTGAAAGAACCTCTCTGCGGTATTAGAAGAAGAAGAGACCGTAACTGAGATGGTTGGATGGTGTGGCTGGAGATGAAAGAGATATCTTGAGCTGAGGGAGCTGAGTGACAGCTGCATAGAACAGAGATGACTGGAGGAAGCAGGTGGAGGAGGGCAAGTCTCATCATCAAGTTGTCGCACCGAAATAGACAGATCGCCACAAAAAAAGATTTCATTGAAATCAGTTATCTCACATCCATATTCTCTCTAGATGGGTGACCAACAAGCAGTAAATGAGTACCAACCAGTGGTAATTAAGGAATAGGTGAGTACCAACTGTTAACCTTTTAAAATATTTGACGATGCTTGTAGCCTAACAGAGAGTAACTAACGAGAGTGGTGTTAGGTACATGCGTGGTTTGCTGGAAAATGTACAGGGACAGCTTTATTAAAATTTCTATTACCAACTTTGCTGATGTCAAGGACTTAGGGGAGGGAATAGCATAGAGACAACTAGGGCCAGTATACTTCATACTATGGTGAGGAACTTTGGTCCACTAACTGATAATTTTACTGCCACTCCTTTAAATACTGATAAATGTATGACACAAAGGCATTATTTGGATTATAATTTTGTAATTGAGATTTAAAACAGCTTAAGTACGTAGAAATGGGCTGCTTAAAGCTATGTATTTGTGGTGTGATAGGCTCTTGTTAAAGATGTTCCATTGGGTATGCTCATGACCTACTATAGAAAAATCAGTTTCAAGTTATTTCACAACTTGAACCAGAATAAAAAAAAAAGTTTATAAATTAAAAAATAACTAAAAAGTAGTCTTTATTTTAACAACATGCAATGTTATTGAGGAAAGCAAGATCATGGGCATTAAATTACAGTAATGTAATGAAAGTAATTAATTAGTTAAGACAACATACTTGATCAGTTTGAAGCAGGTTGACTAACAATGGACTTGCTTGTGGTACTTCTGGTCGTACTTCTGGATAAGGAGGAGGAGGGTAATGGGTAGCCACTGCTGTGTTAACACAAGCCTGTAATATAAAAATAACAACAGTTATTTTATTACAATTATAACAATCAAACAATTAAAAAGATTTAAATAATAAATTTTAAATAATAATCCAAAGTTACACATATATAGAAATAGAAAATAACTTTATTCTGGGACAAAGTCCCTTTAGAATAACAAAGTAGAACATAATTAAAATACTACATCTGGCCAAAATAAAACAATAATAAAAAAGAGAAAGTAAAGAAAATATTAGTTAAACAAGCTATATACAGAAAAAAAAAATCTATATACAAAACACTTAAAACTATGATAAAACACTTAAGACTATGTACAGTAGGAAAAATTATAATTATAGTCCATGTTTTAACTCCGGCTACCTATGTTTTCAAAACAATTTTTTCCATCAAACTTCCGGTTTGGCGATGGATGGGTTATTGCCTTGCACCAGACCTCTCTAGTATTGTTCTTAACAATCTCATTGATTCAATACTACCTAAATTTCCTAAGGATATATTTTTCATTAAAAAATATGTTGACGACCTTTTATTAATCCTCAACCCCCACGCTATTCCAAACATACTTCCTGCATTCAACTCATACCACCCTCGACTCCGTTTTACCATTGAAATAGAATCAAATAATTCCCTCCCATTTCTTGACCTCCTCATTTCCAGAAATAATGATAACACCTTATCCACCAATTGGTACACCAAACCTACCTACTCAGGCCGTCTCCTAAACTATTTTTCCCAACACCCTTACCACCAAAAAATCAGTGTAGCTAAAAACCTGATACACCGCAGTTTTACATTAACCGACCCACAATTCCACAATAACAACCTAACCAAACTACACAAGATCCTGAAATCCAACGCTTTTCCTGATCACATTATAAAAAACTTGATCAAGAATCAATCAAAACCCCATCTTTACCAGTCTCCCACAAATTGCTCTCAGTCCCCCACCACGATTTACCAATATAGATCCATTCCATACATCCCTGTCCTGTCTCAAAAAATCAAAAAAGCGATAACTTCCCAATTTCCCCATGTACAAATAGTTTTCAAAAATAATAGTAAACTAAGAAATCTATACACCAAACTCAAAGATCCTGTTCCGCTCCTACAACAATCAAATATTGTATACCATATCACATGCTCTAGCCCAAACTGTAATTCTTCTTATATAGGAGAAACCAAAAACTATTTAAAAAAACGAATCTATCAACACAAATATAGCATCTCCACACGAAACCCGTTTGCCTCAAAACTAGCGGAACACGCCATAACCCTAAACCACACATTTGATTTCGAAAACCCAACCATACTCGCCAGTTCCCAATCACCAAAAACGACTACTATCGGAATCTATATTCATTAATTTGGAAAAAAATAATCCGGTAAACCATAAAGTAGACAAAGAAAAGATCTGCAATACATATTCAAATATTTTCCGCCTCCTGAAAAAATAGCCTATGTAATCCTTAATATAACACAAACTTATATTATGATAAATATTGTATAATATGTTTTCCTAAGTATCATCTGCATACATTGAAATTGTCTTTATCATAAAAATTATTCACCTAACCCTTGTATACTTGCTATCAAACTAAGCTATATTTATATTAATTGGCACCTTTTGCTTATGTTCATTTTAATACTAGTCAATAGTCACATTTCTGTAACCATATGAAATAACTCAAATATTGTACACGTCTGAAATATTTGTCAGCAAATTATGTATATTCTACAAACAACATATGTTACCCACCCTTTCCCTCTAACCTTGTTTACTTACCTTCTGCTATCTAAAAAAAGGAAAAGTGGGAAATCCTCCCCCCCCCTGACCTTTTTACATACCTGCCAAACATGTGTCAGTACATGAACAACCTCAGTGCTCAAACCACGGTTAGTAAGAGAAAATATTACAAATTTATATAAATGGATTATATACATTATTTTTTATTTTTAGTTTGTATAACTATTTTAATATGTGTATTACAATATTAGTTAAGATTCATGTGCCATCAATCACTATAGTTTATTATTTATAATTAGCGGTCGTATACTATTATATCTTTGATTGTAATTTTAAAAAAACATTTTCAGCCCTGAAGAATGACCCACATGTTTGGATTGAAACGTTGACAAAAATAAAAATTTTTTTAAAAAAGACTGCGTCCTGAATATTTATCACCCTTGAAGAAGACATCTGATACATCAACCCTTCATGATTTCTGCCCAATTTTCCTTCTTTCAAATCTATCCAAACCTTCAGAGCGACTAGTTCAATCCTAACCATCACTTTTAAGAACAGAATAAATAATCTTCTAAAACCTGTCCCAGTTTCCAGCCTGATTATTCTACTGGGTCTGTCCTCATTAAGATCTTTACACAATCCTGCACCAGCAACAACTCACCATCCTTATTCCCCTTGTCCCTATCATCTATTGTCCTTCGGTGGTTTCGATCCTTCATGGTCTTTCAAAGCAAGTCATTGTACCCAATAAATTGCATTCCTCCAGATTCTTCTGTTTTGCTATTTCTCTTTTTCCATTAATGACCTCCTACCCTCCATCCAACATGCCCAGTATTATCTATATGCCAACAATGTTCAAATCTATCTCTCCTTTGACGCTACTGAGTCCTCTAACATCATGAAACTGCAGGAACAAATCGACAGAATAATCGCTGAGGGTCACTCTCAATACTGAGAAAAACAAAGCCATCATGATGGGATCATTACCTCTCTTTAAATTTTTTACTGGACAACCATACCTTACTCTGAACAACATTCCTATCTCAATCCATACTTTAGTTAGAAACCTTTGTATTACGTTTGACCAAATCCTTCCTTGGAAACAGCATCACTCCTAAATTTCGAACACAACATATCAATCCTCAAACAATTTAATTGCCAATGTTATCTAAGGTAACCTAATCTAATTAATCTAAGGTTAAACTGTGACTACAGCTGTCTTATATACAGCCATAACTCCGGGGAAATTGAAAAAAAAAAAAAAAAAAACTGTCAAGGCACACCAGACTCCATAACCAATTTAAATCTTCCATTCAATTCAATCTCACCCAATCTCAACAGAGTCCCCAATCGCAACTAGGTTAGGAAAATATTGTAATAAAGTCAAATTTTCCGTACACATATTTCAACAAATGTTTATGTTTATAAGGCACTGAATCCAAAAAAATCATCTTCACACACAAAAAGAGCATTTTCAGACAAAAACAAAAAAAAATTGACCTGATTATAGCACTTTTTTTATTTTCTTAAAACCATTTTTTCAGTTCCTTGGTGATGTAAGGGAGGGTACCAGAGAGTTACAAGTAAAATTCTCTGAGGAAGGAGATGATTCGGGGTGGCGATCATGAAGAGGTCATCGACATATTTTTTAATGAAAATATCGATGACCTCCTCCTTGCTCTTAACCCTGACAGCATTCCTCAAATCCTTTCCTCATTCAACTCTTACCACCCCTGTCTTGGTTTCACTATAGAGAAAGAAGTTAACAATTCACTCCCGTTCTTAGACCTCCTAATAATCAAAAACACTGACGGTTATATTTCTACTGACTAGTTTTCTAAACTCACGTGCTCTGGCAGACTACTTAACTTTTATTCGCCACACCCATACCTCCAAAAAAATCAATACCACCAAAAACCTTATTCACCGATCTCTCTCTTTATCTGATCCACAATATCACCAAATCAACACTCAGCTTGTCAAAAATATACTCCTTTCCAATAATTTCCCTCTCAACGCTATACTTAAACTTTGAAACAGCTATACAACCAAAAACAGTAGAACCTCCCCTTCTCTTAACTCCCCACAATCACCTACCACTCCTTTCATATACAAATCTCTCTGCTATGTTCCTATTCTTTTAGATAATATCTAAAAATTCCTAAAATTGACTATTACTAGCTTACGTCCCATAACCAACTCTCTTTCTTTTTCACCAACTTGAAGAATCCCATACTTTTACAACACTGACTTAATGTAGTTTACCGAATACCTTGTTCTACTCTTAATTGTAATAGTTCCTACATTGGCGAAACTATCAAAATACGCCTTAACCCTCAACCCATCATTTGATTTTGAAAACAAATATTCTGGCCACGACCCCTAACCATGAAAAAAAGACTCATTTCTGAATCAATCCACATCCACTTGGAACAGAATCCTGTTAATCATAAAGTCTTCTATTTTCAATTCTATATTTACATTCTAAATCAATGTACGATCATCCATTTTTATTTTGTATTCATTGTACTGTTAACCATTATGGCTTGATATTATCTAATATTTAAATGTAATTTTCTTACAATATATCAACTAATTATAATTATTCATATTTATTTCTTCTCTATACTTCTATCTATAATTTCTTAATTCTATTTTGTATGTATATGTATATATTTATAATTTATTCATTCATAGATATCGTATTTTTTCTTGTATCAATCAATATCTTCAAATTTTAGATACTGTAATATTCCAGGTTTTGTTTAGTTTTTACTACTTACCCCCTCATCACTCTCCAACCAGGTCAGCTAATTTCCACAAGGGTACTAACTCTACCCAAGTTTCCCCAGTTTTAACTGAAACTCCTTGCTGAACGCACCTGTAAATCTCTATTTTTATTCTTTTATTTTTATTTTATTTTTCTTCACATATCTTTATGTCCATTATTTCATATTATTTTTCCTTTTCTTAAAATCTCTCCTTGAGATCTGTAGGAGTATATTAATAATTGCATATATTATGTTATGTATTATACTACAACAATTGTTCCCATTTATTTACTTCAGTTTAGGATATTGCTACTTAGTTTACTCTGTTTATTTAGTTTATTGTTCTTAATATTTCAATATACTTACTTTTTATAATTTCAATAAGTTTATAATTTTTATCTATATATTATGTAACTTCCACAATTTTCTATATCCTTTTGTATCTTGTCCGTTCTAGCCCTGAAGAAGACCTACAAAGTAGGGTCGAAACGTTGGCTTGAAATAAAATATTTTTTTCACTATTTTAGTCTCTTTATGATCGCCACTCTGGACCATCTCCTTCCTCTCAGAGAATTTTACTCTACGACATCACTAATGATGTCTTGATGAAAAGAAGGGATAACGGAGTCAAGAAGGTAATTTAGAACAATATTGGAAATACCAGTTACTAAAGAGATTCCCATGGCTAGACCTGATATCTGGTTAAAGAATTTAACTTGGAAAGTGAGGTATCCGAATCTGCAACAAACCTCAAGGGAACCAAGTTATGGGTGAGGTTAAGGGTGGTGTGAGGTTCGATGATTGTCCAGTTTTTTTGTACAGCTTTATCTATTGGGATGTTGGTAAATAAGCTTGCAATAAGTTTTACTTATTTGCAATGCTAAATAAGTTTTACTACTTACCCCCCACACCACTCTCCAACCAGGTCAGCTAATTTCCCAAGGGTGCTTGCTCTACCCAAGTTTCCCCAGGTTTAATTGAAATTCCTAGCTAAGCGCACCCGTAAGTCACTATTTTTATTTCTTTTATTTTTCTTCACACCGCTTTATGTCCATTATTTTATTTTATTTTTCCTTTTCTTCCAATCCCTCCTTGAGATCTGTAGGAGTATATTCATAATTGCATTATACTACAACAATTGTTATCAATTTTTACTTCAGTTTAGGATCTTGCTGCTTGGTTTACTCTATTTATATAATTTATTGTTCTTGATATTTCAATGTATTTACTGTTTATAATTTCAATAAGTTTATTCACCTTGTTTATAATTTTTATAAAAGTTTTAATTAAATCATTTTTAAGGTAAAAGTTTAAACTGGACACATAAAGTTCTGATTTTCTCTATTATAAAACAAAGTTAGCTATGGAGGATTCTAATATGAATGTAGTTTCTCATAAGTAATTTAGTTTCTGGTTAATAAATACCCTTTTAAGGAGCACCACGTGTCGAACGAATGAGTGCTTGGCAGCCAATGAATTGCACCGACCGAAGCCATGTGAATTAACTAACAATATAATGAAAATAAAATTTAAATAATATAGGTATCTATCATTTGCCAATACTCACTGTCACTCCCCATTCTTAGCATTAAATTCATATTTCTGTTCAGTATTGTTATAAGAATATGGAAGAGCAACAAGTTTTTTCTTAGAAGAAAAACTCCATATATCTTGCTGACTGGAGAGGGAAGAGTTCCACAGTAACTTGGCTCAAGAATTAAACTCAAGTCTTTCGACAATTTAAAAAAATTATAACTCTATACGAGATAGCATGCTGAAGATAGTAAACCTTTTAAATCCAAAAACGATGATTTATCAACTATGAAATCGGTTCTTTATTTCGCTTATAACTGAAATTGCATTTGATTTATGAAATATTCGCAAACTCAATGAACAGAATTTTTTTACTACATAACCTGACCATTTTTCATCTTTACAATTTTAACAGCAGATATATCCAGGGCCTAATTTTTATGAGCAGGTCTATCCAGGGCCTAATTTTTATGAAGCTAAAATAAATTGAAAGTTGGTGAATCTAATCGAAGTATTGAAAAACATGTAAAATAGAGGCTGAATTTGGCAAACCAATAATTTCAGTTTTCACTGAATTGTTATAAAATCTTTTTTATGTCTACTCAAATCCTTTTTTAGTTTTTAGAGGATAGAAATACGCGTCAATTGAACACAAAAATATTTATTTCGTTCACCAGGAATCATTTCAAATTTTATGTAATTTTGGAAGATTCAGGGTAATTCTGAGCATTTGTTCCACTGAAAATTTATATATTCCTTCCAATTGTTTGAAAAAGTTTCAAAATCCTTCATTGAGATGTCTACATCAATAATTAAAAACGATAGCTGCCACCGTTGAATTGAGGCCCTTTGGAATTAATATTTTTCGACATTTCTCAATACCTGTGGCGCGGAGGTAAACATGATAATAACTAGAGACCAGATCTCTGTGTAGTAAAAATCTGAAAAACGTGGAGTAAAAAAATGTGCAATAATATGGAAATCCGGTCTCTAATAACAACTATCCAGACTAAGTTAACAATAAATGTTAATATAGTTCAGTGTTATGCGTTCTATATTAAAGAAAATAAAAAAAGGAAAGGTAAAAAATGGGTAGGATGTGCAGTCAAAGTATTATCAATTATAAGAATAAAGAACAATATGAAAAATGAAGAACAATTCATGTAGAAGAATTAACCAGTAAGTATCAAAAAAATAAACTAAGATATAATAATTTCATACTGAATTCTATATTGAACTCCTGAATCATATTTCTTTTACAAGTACTAATACAAAATTAAAATATTATTTTGCTCATGGAAAGCCTAACATTGACATTTTCTGAAATTTACAATATTATCAAAATAAAAAAATCTATAAGTTTTTGAGAAACTAGTTATTCATTTAGTTGAATGAACCAAATTTGAAATTGATAGAATTTATCAAGATTTAAAAAATCATAAATTATAATATCTTATTTGACCTGTGTGTAAATATATATAGATATATACATACGCACAAAAATAAATTTCTTAACTTGAAAAGAAAAAATAAATAAATAGACTTTTAAAGTAAGATATCTCATGGCAGGGTCTCTACTGTAGTGTCATTTATTTTTTAATTTTCATATATTATTTATGATAATTTATTGTACAGATAATGGAGTATATTTAGTAGTGATGATATAAAATGAAGAAACAAGGAAATTGTTGAAAAAAAATGTAGTTACAGTATTTATTACATAAAAAACCATTGAGTTTAGGACCCTGTGCGGCGTGGCATTAAGATACACTTTTGAATAATAGCTCATTACCAAGAGGGTGAAATGAAAAGAAAATTGCTCTCTCTCACAGTATACAGGTCCGATGATTTTCAGTTTCTCAGATATTTTAATCCATATGCAAAACTACTTCTATTAGTCGACTAGAGCCGACTTTACCCGAATGAGCATTAGACATCCGAGCCTGACGGCTCAATCTAATTCACTAAGCACAAAAAAGTGGAAAGCATGCCTAAAGAAGTTTTTACTTACAAAAAAAATATGTCCATAAATGTATAACTTACAAATAGTCAATAGTATTGGTACGTTTTTCTTTACAAAAAAGTACTGTTTGAAGTCCAATTTAGTTAAATTTAATTTATTACCCTTGTTTGATTTCAATATAACGACCAGTGCCTTGACAGTCAAAGCTGAATGAATGAATATAGGGCCCGTGGTCGTTTATAATAACAAAGTTTACCCCTTCAAAATCATTAAAACGATAACCACTGTATATTTATTTCCAATATGAAAAGAATATTTACGTACTAAAAAAATTCTACGACTTTAACAATTTTTCCTGACTTCTCTCTGTTTTTAAAATTCCCTGATTTTTCAGGTTGGTCGCCAACCTTTAAGGTAAATATGTAGATTACATAATAATCAATTTACTTTTTACTTTTACATGTATCTCATTACTTATTTTGGTTTGATATCTGCAAAATGACGAGAGTTAGAGACATTTACCAGGAAATGAATCCTCTTCCTTACAACAATAAGTTGATTTAAACAGATAATGTAGTTCCCTCCACTACTAAAGAAGGATTACAGGCTGATTTATGGAAATAGTACTTCTAGTTGTCCGATGAGGTACCAAGTTTCATCTTGTACCAAACTCTTCCAAGCGTATTAAAAGTTTCTCAATCATTCACGATAAAAAATTCTCATCAACATATCCTGAGAATATATTAATTAATCATTAATAATACATTCTATACAATACCTTAGCTTCCCTGGATACAATAGCAGATGCTTGTGCCATAGAATTAAATGGAAAACGTGTTGCTTGTGGTTGAGAAGAACTAGTTGCTGGCACTAAAGGAGGTATAGAGCTAGCTGCTGGTGCAACCACATTAGGAGGAGTAGAAGGAGCACTCACCCTCACTGATATCACCTAATAAAAAACAGCAATAAAAATATCAAAAAACAGATAACAGCAACAAAATACATCACAGTTCTAATATTATAAGAATAGTTCATAAAATTGTATCATCATCATTATCTCACATTTGAATTACATAAATTTGAAAATTTAAGAAGTGACATTTTATACAATCGAATTAACATATTTCACAATTTTCTTGATCAAGACTCTAATAATTTTGATTTAACTCGTTAAACAATATAAAACCATGTGGTAATTAATAACAGGCAGGTATTATGTTCATTGAAATAGTCAGACATGGATTAAATATTGAATTTTTAAAATATCTTTCTCTGAAGTACCTTTAATTGTGCTTATTTAAAAAATTAATCATTCCACTTTGTAACTAGTAATAAAAAAATAGTTAAATATAAACAATAACAGGGAGTGGGGTAACTCAGTGGTTGGGCAGTCAGCTTCGATTACTCAGTGGTTGGGCAGTCAGCTTCGATTACTCAAGGTCCCAGGTTCGAATCACAGTTCATGATACATAAATTCTTGAAGGAAGTTAGTCGACTGTTCTACATATTATGGGTGATATCAAGGCAAGTCAAACGTTGGCAAAAATAAAAAATTTTAAAAAAAGACTGTGTCCTGAATATTCATCACCCATGATATATAAATTATTTATTATTTTAAATATATGTATTCAAATTTGTAGGTTAGGACTTCATCTTAATAGTAATAATAAAATCATATATTTGATAACTATAGTCCTCCTTTATTTGTTTTTTTAAATCAACCCTTTAGCCCTTAGGCTATTATAAAGGGAAGAAACCTTTAACAAATAAAACAATCATCACAACCTAATTATATTTGATAATTAATTACTTTCATTTAATACTTTAATTTACATACCTATTTTAATAGTTAAAAATCATTAAGGACTGATTTGCCCTTGCCAACTCCATTTAATTAGTAAAACACTAAAACCTTCCTCTTTTCATAATGCTATATAGTGGAAGCGAAAATGGGCATGAATTTGGAGTTGCATTTATGGTCACGAATCGAATTAAAGCCTCAAGGCTATGCAAACTACGCATTAGGGGCCATTTCTGGAACATTAGTTTGATTTATAAGCATGCCTCCACAGAACAGAAGAATGAAGAGGAAAAAAAGTATTTTTTATGAACAATTCGAAGCTACATATAGTACTTGTCCCAGTTATGATATGAAAATCGTGTTGGGAGACTATAATGTGCACTGATTGGTAAGGAAAAGGAGCTGAGACCTACCATAGGAGCTCATAGCTTACACAATAACTAATGACAATGGATACAGAATGGTAAGCAGTGCAATTTCAAAATCCATACCTGTCATGAGCACTATGTTCTCTCATAAAAATGTTCATCAAGAAACATGGTGCTCACCGGATGGCATCACAGCAAGTCAAATTGATCACGTGCTGGTATCCTCCAAAAATTATAATTGTGCAATGACATAAGATCTTATAGAGAAAATGATCTTAACACGGATCATTACCTCATTATACAATAAAGGATAAAATGCACTGAAGATAAACAAAACTTCCGATACGAACAGTGGAACACAGAAGGCTTAAAGATAGAAGAAATGATAACTAAGTTTTTGAGAAGTTTCATGAGATAGTCATGAGCAGGACAATTGGTGAGGCTACAGCGACAAGTAAAAGCAGGTGGAGATGTATCAAATTAGGATTGGCCCAGTCTGCTAAAGAAGTATGTGGAGAAAAACAAGACATCCTCGTAACTATTAGTTTGATGAAGAATGTGAGCAGGCAATCCAGAAACTGAAAGAAAAAACATTAAAATGGATTAATCGGAAGACACGGCTCAGTTACAAGGAGTACAAACATGCCAGGATGCACACGAAGAGATCAGTTAGAAGCAAGAAGAGGGAAACATTAAGGAAATTGAAAACTCAAGAAGTAGAAATGAGTCCCGCAAGTTCTACAAAATGATGAATAGCATTAAGTGTGAACCGACTAGGAGAGCCAACCTAATCAAAGACGGCAACATGCTAATGCTAGAAGAAGTGCAAGAAAGGTGGCAGCAATATTTCAAAAGCTTACTGAACCCGAGAGAAGCAGAGAACTGTCTGGAAGACCATGTACAATTACCAGTGAGTATTAATTGAAGATCTGGAAACCATTCCACCTGATGTAAAGGACACCAAAGACATCTAATGTAAGCTAAAAAATAATAAATTACCCGGTAATGATGGACTCCTAGCAGAATTGTTTAAAGCAAGGCATCACGAAGTCGCCAAGGAACTACAGAACCTGATAGCTCCGATATGAGAGGATAGACCCAAGGAGTGGAATGAGACTGTAGTAGTGCCTGTATACAAGAAGAAGGGAGATTCAACAATATACAACAACTATCAAGGGATTAGTTTGCTTAACACTGCATGTAAATTTTTTTACAAATTGCTGTACAACAGGCTCCTTCCATATGATAAATAGAAACTGGGTGATCATCAGGGTAGTTTCCGGCCCAATTGGTCTACTATTGATCAAATCTTCGCCCTGAGGCAAATTTCTGAGAAGATGAAGGAAGATCAGCAGACAACTTGATGCTGTTTATTGATTTTCAGGGTGCCTCATATTGGACATGCATAAAGAGGGGCTGCCTAGTAAAGTAACTCGATAAGTAAAATGCACAATGGTGAGCACAATCTGGCGTGTAAAATTATGTGATTTATCAGAGCATTTTGTAGTGGAAAGTGGCTGAAGACAGGAGATTCAATAGCTCCTCTCCGGTTTAATATCACTCTAGAAGCAATCATAAATAGAGCAGGACTAAATCAGGAAGGAACGATATTTACAAAAATGGCCCAAGTTCTGGCCTATGCAGACAAAGTCATTATCATCGGTAGATCCCTTCAGAGCATTAGGATGGCTTTTGAAACGATGGATGTCAAAGCAAATAAGGAATGTAGCATTTCCTCGTATATCAAGATACAGAGGCTTAAGTGGCTAGGCCATGTGATGAGGATGAGCGAGGAAAGAGTGGCTCATAAATTTTTTAATTGTTTCAAGACTAATATTATTTCTACATAGTAATCAAGAAATGAGAAGTGAGGATACTTTACCTGACCACTGGGTAGTTGCACTGATAATATGCCAAGTCTGGCTAAGACTTCACCACCAGCTTCCGCTAACACTCTTAACCTTTCAGCGGCTTCAGCTCCAATAGAAAAGGTCACTCTGACAGAGTTCCATGGTTCCATCTTCCTCACCCTTAATCTTTCATCAGACCCTGTTTAACATAATTATGTATTAAATTAATGTAATTAAATACTTTCTAAATAGCAGCATCAGAATTATAAATATTTATTATTATTTTATGAATTATATAAAACAAGAAAAATCATTTTTTTTTCTCTTGTACATTTCCAAATTTTCCGGTATATTATTTTATTTCAGTAGGAAAAAACAAAAAACCTAACATGATTAGCAAAACTCTACCACTGAGATCATATTATCTCAAGAAAAGATTTTTTATTAAAAGATTTATTTTTTTTATTTCTTAAAGACATTTACAACTGTATTAAATAAATACATCTAGTAAATATGAACATAATGTATATAATGACATGAAAAACACTTGATGAGTAACTACCCAATGGTAGCACTCAAATGATATGTCTACATTAGGAGATCACGGGGCCATCTTCTTTTCAGACGCCTCGGAGGGTTATCAGGAATTGAAGAGGAAGTAATAGCCCTGGAGCCAGGGCACAAAAATCGACCTGATCGCAGGCGAAGGTTTGATTGTAAATTATGAAAGTGTATGTTATTCTGAGTAAAAAAAACCTTGTCTGCTATTCCAGAGCCGCTGCTTTCAAAAATGGCTGCTGATTTAAAATATATTAGGTCAATAATTTGAGGATCGAAACGGGAAATCCATTGCAAAAAATGTGAGAAAAGTTTTTATTTTTTTAACTTGTATATATGGGTTTAGACATGTAAAAAACAAAATTGCTAACGCGGCCCACCAAGGGAAAACTTTTTACAGCCAAAAAAAGCCAGATTTTTTTGGTTTTTCACCTATAACTCCTAAACAATGCATCAAAACGAAAAATGTACTCTTTAACAAATTAAAGAACGTTAAATTTTGCGACAAACGATCACATAAACATTAAAATTTGGTTACGCCGTAAGATATAAAACCACGGTCAACCAAAGCTGAGTTTTACCAAATTTGTCAAAAACTGAGAAAAATTACTATAAATGGTCCTGTAACTTGGAAATGAGTTCCCTAAGTGGAAGAACCCATAGAATCAAAGTTGTAGAGCATCAAATTTTGCGTCAACTGAGTACCAACTAATTTAATGTAGGTCACTGGCTGCTAACAAAATCGGTAATCTATCGATGGTTAGAAATTGGTAATGAAGGTAAACCTGATTTTAAATATTTCAACAGTATGGTTGTCTTTTCTAATGAGTTATTTTTGTTTAAAGTCTGTTACATGCAGTATAAGCTTCTTTTCCACCTCTCAACAACAAAAGATTTTGGTAAACGATGTGCCGAAAGATTCCGAATTTTATAAAGGCCTAACGAATCCCGATTCAAGATATATAATTGGCCTAAAATAAAAATGTCAGTACTCAGTTGAACCAAGATTTGATGCCCTACAACTTCGATTCTACGGGTTTTTTCTCTAAGGGAACTCATTTCCAAGTTACAGGGCCATTTTTAGTAATTTGTCTCAGTTTTTGACAAATTAGGGAAAAACCTGCGTTGGTTGAACGTGGTTGTATACCTTACCGCGTAACCAAATTATAAAGTTTATGTACTCGTTTGACGCAAAATTTAACATCCTTTAATTTATTAAAGAATACATTTTTCGCTTTGATGCATTGTTTAGGAGTTATAGGTGAAAAACCCAAAAAATATCGAAAAAATCTGACTTTTTTGGCTGTAAAAAGTTTTCCCTTGGTGGCCCGCGTTAGCAATTTGGTTTTTTACATGTCTAAACCCATATATACAAGTTAAAAAAATAAAAACCTTTCACATTTTTCGCAATGGATTTCCTGTTTCGATCCTCAAATTATTGGCCTAATATTCTTTAAATCAGCCGCCATTTTTGAAAGCACTGGCTCTGGAACGGCAGACAAGGTTTTTTTTACTCAGAATAACATACACTTTCGTCTGCGATCAGGTCGATTTTTGGGCCCTGGCTCCAGGGCTATAAGATTAGAAACGAGAGGATTGGGATGATTCTGAAGTTTATTATGGAAGGATAGGTATCTGGATTGGGCCAAATCGGAAACATATGGAACCTTAAGGTCATTATGGATGGTTTTATTTGTAACAAAGTAGGGAGCATTGAGGATTTTACGAAGGATAAGAAAAGATAAATAGATAAAAATTAAATTGTGAGCAGTAGAGCAAGGTAGAATTTTTTATCATTTTAATTTAGATATCAGTTGATAAGTGATTTCATTGTTTCATCAACTTGGATATTGGAGGATATTGAATCAAGATTTAAAATCTATTAAACTGCGAAATTTCTACCTTATGTTAGTCTTTGAACATTTTATGAATTTAATTTATCAAATACTGTCCTTTTGGTAATTCCCTCTCCTATAAACTACTTGATTCGTTTTTCCAATCCCTCGGGCCGCGGTTTATTGCTGGAGGAGACTACAATGCAAAACACTAACGATGGGGTTGTTGAACATCCAAGTCCCATGGTAACATCCTATTTATTAGTGTCTCATCTTCCAATAATTATTCTATATTCTCGCCTATGAATCCTACCTATTGGCTAACATCTCTCAAAAAACACCCTAATATTATGGACATTCTTGTCACCTCAAAGTTATCCTCTTCCCATGCCACAATCAAATCCCTGGATGACCTTTTTTCAGATCATAGTCCAGTTCTGATTTCATTGCACTCAACCTTTGCTCCTAAGTCCTCCCCTCTTACTTTGATTAAAGGAGGAGTAGACTGGGACAACTATCGTGATGATTTGGAAAACAAACTGGACTTGAAAACAAGACAAGACATTGACAAAGCCATAGAAAAACATAACATATCAATAGCAATCAGTATAAATGATAGTACATCTACCAATGAAAACATAAACATACGATATATTAACTTGCCACAACATATTCAAATCTTATTAAGGAAAAATCCAGGAGCAAGATCGCAGTGGATCAGGACCAGATATCCTACAGATAAAATTCAATATAACAAATTGACTAACAAACTAAAAGTATAAATTAGAAAATTCAAAACTCAAAAATTACTTAACCAAACTGAAAATCTTACAACTACTGACAAATTACTATGGACGACTACTAAAAAACTCCTGAAGTTTAAAAACTTTAATCATCCACTTCTTACTAAAGCTCAAACCTGGACCAAATCTGACAAACAGAAATCTCTCATATTTGCTCGCCATCTCTTCAAAACCTTCAATCCACACCCTGATATTCTTAATCCAAATCACCTTGAGTGTATTGAAGCAGAATTGGATATTCCTCTCCAAATGACTGCTCCACCTAAAGCATTTCATCCTTCAGAAATAGCCAATATCATTCACAAATTAACCTCCCGCAAATCTCCTGGTCACAACCTAATTACATCCCAGACCTTAAAACTGCTTCCTCGGAAAGCCATCCTGTTTCTTACCTACATTTATAATGAATGCTGTACTCCGATCCACATATTTTCCTGACCCCTGGAAACTATCTATTGTTAAAATGACACACGAACCCAAAAAACCGCCCGAACACCCATCCTCTTACTGACCTATCTTTTTATTACCGATCATGGGTAAAATCCTGGAAATACTCATCCTAAAACGCCTGTAACCCATCATAGATTCTAATCATTTAATCTCTGATCACCAATTTGGATTCTGCACTTCCCATTCCACTATCCAGCAATGTCATTGTGTGGTAGCTGTAGTCTCCTCTGCATTGGAGCGCAGAATGTACTGCATGGGAGTCTTTCTCAACGTTGAGCAGGCGTTTGATTGAGTTTGGCACCCGGGACTGATATACAAACTCCGTAAATTCCTACCACCTGCATACTTCCTCATTATCCGCCCCTACCTTACTGACAGATACTTCAAAGTTAATCACCACAATGCTTATTCATCTCTTTTTTTCTTAGTTTGCTGGTGTTCCTCAAGGTAGTATCCTAGGTTTTATCCTTCACACAGTTTATACAGTTGACATCCCAACACTGTCATCTCCCCCTATGCTGATGACACGTGTATCCTATCAGTTAATAATGACCCATCAATCGCATTCTAAACTCTTTAATCACACATCACCAATCTTGAAGAATGGTGTCATAACTGAAGGATTAAAATAAATCCCATAAAATTACCTTTGCCCTTCATCGTAAACCTATGACTTCATGTCCTACAGTATCCTTTAATAATACCGCACTTATCCCTGTTGTACAAATCCGATACCTAGGAATCCACCTGGACAAACGTCTAACTTGGAATCCCCATAACAGACTGAAACAAGAAACCGCTCGACGTTTCCGACTACTTTAGCGCTTACTAGACAAACGCTCTAACCTTTCAATTAATTACAAAAGACTCATATACATGACCATAATAAGACCTATTTGGACTTATGGAGTTGAGCTTTGATGCTCCACTAAACCATCAAATTCTAAACCATAAAATCTTGACAATCCAAAATCCTCCATAAAATCCTTACTTTGTACAAATAAAATAATCCATAATGACCTGAATGTTCCATATGTTTCCGATTTGGCCCAATCCAGATACCTATCCTTCCATAATAAAATTCAGAACCATCCGTATCCTCTCGTTTCTAACCTTGCTTCCTCCTCGATCCCTGATAACCCTCCTAGGCGTCTAATAAGAAGATGGCCTAGTGATCTCCTAATTTATGGGTAGATTCTCTACAAGCCTTGTCATGTCTGCTGTGCATGCATTGTATCACATTTGCTGAATGTTTATTAAATGTACAGTTGTAAATTTCATAAATAATAATAAAAGAAATAAAATAATTAATTTATCGAAATAAAGGCTGAGGAAAAAAAATTGAGAAATCCAAAAGGCCTTTCTTTAACTCCAAACCAACTTTCAAATCCCCGACCCTAATTATGAATAAAAAAGCAAAACCCACAACAAAAAAATAAATAAAATGAATAAAAAATGACTAACTCATGTACACATTTTCCACTCTCTAACTTGATCTGGAGGGCAGGTGTTTAAGACTAGGTTTGTGACCATAGGTGAGATATCTTAAAGTA